AATATACATGATGTAATAAATTACTTTATTACATGTATGTCATGTAAAAATTACTTTATGTAAACTGCCCATGTAGTTACAGGTTACATGTACTTGTATAGTTGACATAAGGTACGTGACAAAAGACTATAATTTGTAGAAGTGTTACTGTTCATAGTGTTTTCTGACCAGTAGCATTCCTCTAATTACAGAATCCAGACACTTTGTTAACATGTTATACAACATGTAGCAAACTCAATCAATAGAACTGTCCAATACAAAAGTACAATATACATGTACATGTATTTATTATTATTATATATTGTCCATTCCTTTATTATAGGGTATATCTTAATGTGTGTTTCTCTTATGCATCAAGATATGAGATTACTGATACTATACAGTCACTGGTTGATGGATCTCATGATGGTATATACTACCAACATTATTATATGTACATACATGCATCATAGTACCACTTACACATACAACGTACACATACATGTATGCTGTATAACTGTGTACATGTACTCTTTCTACTCTGCTGTGTCCGGACATGTGCATGGTTAGTATCATTGGGATTTGTCATTGATTTGTTTGTACATGTTCAATAAGACCATCTACTAACAATTAATGTACATATACATGTACATGTATGCTGTATGTACAGGACTCACTTTGTTAGGTTGATTTTTATTATTTTGTATAATGTGTGTGTCCTGTACTAGCTGTTGTACATTTGGCTTTAAATTGTTATGATATGATTATTGTGTTTTATTTTAGTGTGACTGGTTGACTGGTTGCATGAGTGTATGCTTGTATGTGAATCCAGTGGACAGTATATGTACATTCAATATTACTACTTCTATTATACATACATTATACAAGTACATGTATTTACATTATAGTGATATCAGTGAAGAGTTAATGGAGAGATGTTTTTATACTGGTACATGTACACCACCTGATCTTGTCATTAGAACATGAGGAGAAGTGAGATTAAATGACTTCCTTATATGGCAGGTATTTTTTAATTGATTAATTAATTATTATATTTATTATTATTGTTAGATCTCTTATTCTTGTCTTTGTTTTCAAGATGTGTTGTGGCCCGAGTTTTTCATTTGGAATTTATTCTCTTCGATATTAACATACCAACAGAATTACAATAATAAAAAGGTTTGTTAGTAATTAATTGAATCCTATAGCTGCAGGAGTAGTGTATGTCATGGAGCATGTCATAGACTTTTATAGTCATAATATACAGCACTGATCAGCAATAAGTTGAAAGTTATAGACTAAACTTGTTTGGTGAACACAATAAATTTAAACTTGATAATATATAGACAACCAACCACATTATTTTAAATTTACACAAGTTAATTTTACAGCTACATGTAGTATATAAAAACAATAAACTATAGAAAACTCAAACTCAGCTCAAACGCAAAGCATGTCAACTTGTTACTGACCAGTGCCGTAGGAATAATGTAGAAGTAGGTGAGTAGTTGAATGGGTTGGAGCTGAAATACATGTAACTGTACAGTCTGTGGGAATATACTATATAGCTTATATAGCCTGTTGGATACTATACTGATAGCATAGCCTGTTGGAGGTTGCTGTGATAGCCTGGCTTTGATTGTGGTTGGAGATGGACACTGTTAGATAATGTACATGTATAAATGTATACACTTTACCTTATACTAGATGAGTAGATACCGTATAGCACAAAAATTTGGAGGGACAAAAATTTGGCGAATTTGGCGAATAGAGTTTCATTCGCCAAAATAAAAACCGCCATTTTGAGCCTTTATACGCATGCTCA